AGAGCATTCACTACCTTTGACACTTCATCAAACTAATTAGAACTTTAGTTTTAGATTTACAGAAAGCAGTTGAGCTACTATAAAAAAAATATCCTAACTGGAACTGCACTTATTGGTGTTGAAAATTGTGGTCATAATGTAAATGATGAAACTCAGACAATATGATAGTTAATAAACATAGTAATAATATAATAAATGGGGTACTAGCTCTTGATGGATTGGATTAATTACTGATCCTTTGTGCTGTTAACTGTGTCAAGCTGTGGAATTAAAGCAAAAGTATTCATTTGATAATATCCTTACGGAGTTTAGAACTGTCGGCCCAGTAATCTTTTCCTGCTCCAGTTCAAAGACGGACTGTTACACATAATATGATAAAAGGTCTCATCTATCGCCAAGGAAGGCGACATATTATCTCTTTAGACAGACCGAACTTATTAAGATAAAAACAGAGACCATGATGACTCGTCAGTTAACCTGCTAACTACTTCAGTTCTGTACTACTTAAAGAAATGTTCAACCATAGTTGTATTGACGATCCTTTGCCCTGACAAATAATCAATGTGTCGCTCAAGCGGTACATTGCATTGGTTACATGTTGGTTAGAAACGTCTGATCTAGTTTGTCATTGGTCACAAACATGCTACAAACTAACTTGCTAAAGGATCTCAATTGCCACACTTTGCTTTGAAGAACATCTTATGCTTCATTAAATATTCGAAGTAGGATCGTAAAATATAAAAAGGAAATCAAAGAGGAATATTTAGGTGCTCTTAGATTTATAAAAATCAAAATGGATCTTTTATGTCACTGTAATAATCTAAACCAATCAAAGTAAGAAAATATTTTGTAATGAAGTTCTTATTAAGGGTTACTTTCGGTTTGGTATTCTTAACATTAAATTTTAAAATATAAATGTTGTTAACTGCTCTAAAGTAGTATATATATTACATAGGTATATATAAAAAATTGCTGTTTAATTTTTTCTTTTTTAATTCATTGCGTTAAATAATTTTTTGTCAATATTTTAAAGTGATGGCAAATTTGTTTCCTGCATTTTTAAAAGTTCACTTGCTGAACACTAAACGTCACTTACAGTCTTAACGAAACAATCGGTTTAAAATATCTGATCAACATATTTCAGTAAGTGAAGTGTAAATATTCCACCGAAACAACAAAGTTAATAATTAATGCGCATCAACAGATTTTTGGTTGCCAACGGCCAAAATTGGTAGCACTTAATGAAAAAGCTGAGTTGAGGAAGGATAAAAAGTCCTGAGTTGAGGAAGAAAAAAAAATTTTTAAAACAAAAATTATGTTAAATGTACAGGACATTTTCCATGCATATATCGATGCTAGCATAATTCGCATATCTTTGTAGGCATTACGTGTATGCGACATATGAGTAGTACAGTACTTTCTATATAGAGAGATAATCATACCTATATATGAGTTTTATTACTTTTATTTTCAATAAATAAAATTATATATTTTTGATCAGTATAAATATTTTTTTTGTTTAACTTATGTTGCAATTTAGACAATAAAGAGAAAACTAAATAAGCTAAAGTGGAAGAACAATGCGATCTTAACAATACGAAACGATCACTTGATGTTTTCTTTTTGTTTTTGGGGAAAGGAAACTTCAAAATGGCTGACGCATCGTCACTATATCGTTAAATGGCTTCGTCACTATATCATCACAATAGTTGTATGCCCTGTTTGCACGGATTAAAAAAATCCCCCTCATGTACCAGACCGTTTACATATTGAAACTTTATCAGGAATACTCCAGGATGGACCCTATCCTGAAGTATTTCTTCAGAAATGTTGATTTTCCAATATAAATTTTTTTGTTTTTCTTTGTTAGAACGTTAGCGTACAGGCTTCGCTTAGGTTTATTTGTTTTTCTCTTTTTCGCTTAGGTTTTTAGGCCATTTTTTGAATCATATTTTTTCTGTTTAAGTATGACCGGTCTATGGTGGTCCAGTTTTCTTCAGATAGCATTATTTTTGTTATGATGTTTTCAACGTTTATTTCACCGACTATTGTTTTAAGTGATATTCTTGCGGTGTTCCATCTGTTGCATTTGAAGATGGTGTGCTCAGCGTTGTCTTCGTCAGCATCTCCGTATATACATTTCAGCAATACTGGGCTGATGAACATCACAGTCAGATATCTAGTCAATACTTGGTCTAATTTAGAGAAGAAACGAACTAGTCAGCTGCTTCAACTAAAGCGGAACCTGTTTAGCACCACGGTATCTATGCTGACGGGATATTGCGAAAGAGGAAGGTATGTTATGACACTGGGTCTACCTTATAATGATTTTTATTGAGGTTGTGGTTCTGAGAATTAGAAGGAGACCGTGCTCCTTCGCATTCTCAGTGTCCTTCTTTGTATCAGTGTCTTTCTTTAGCTAAAAGATGATTAAAAATCTTCGGATCCCATTTTCTCACCGATATGACTGAGCTGTCATCCTGTAATGTTAGGTACTTGGCCAAGTTTATAGAACTGTCAGGTTGGTTTACCTTTACTTAATGGAGAGTCGTTACCTTTTTCGGCATTGGCTGTATAGTGACTTAAATCTATGTACGTACCAATGCTATATGTGTGGTATCAGAATTGACCATCATTTGAGCTCAAGTGGGCTTTTTGGAAACAAGGCCGCCACTTCAACCTATCTACCTACCTTTACCGATCGAAAACCGCATGCAATGTACCAACTTTATTGTGAGATATTTTTGAGTGTGTAATTTTTAGCGACATTTCACTGTATTTTAAAATGACTATCATGAGTAAAGCAGAGCTATTGAACGAGAAACATGTAAATTAATAAGAATTTTCACGCCGAAAACTGCAACTTCGTATTTATGTGGCAAATTATGTGTACAGGCATTTCATCTGTGCCGGGTTAAGCCTTTAAATATGGATGTATCTATGTACATATGTATGTATTTGTGTGTTTGATTGTGTATTACGCATGTATAACTACAACAACATAAATCAATGTCTTGACAGTTGATTTTTATGGTACTACAAAATGCCATGAACTGGTTTAAATTAATTAAAGTGTTCGCGCCTCAAAGTATGCTGCATCCGAGCAGCAGATAGACATCAACTCTCATGTACACATGCACTTAATGAAAAACGCATATGTATGCGTGTAAAATTTTTATGGTCACTACGAGTCAAATACACTACACAAAATATTGTGAGAGTATGTGTGGCGTAGTCATTTATGGGCTTCGTTAAAAAGGGAAATGCCGCTGCCATGCTGTAGTTTAAGAATTTCCGGTTGTGGCACCGCAAATATAAGCGCAAAACGTCCGTATGTAAGCATGAATAATTGTTACGAAAATGAATACGTTAATTTTATTTTCGTCCTCCTTATTTCGTTGCTTTTGTTGCATCCTTTTTGTTGAAATTGCCTCCGCTCCTCAAGTCTTAAAATAATATTTATAATTGCAAATATAATAAATTGATTGCTCAAAAATGCAATGCAACAATGTGGCTGTCATTTAGTCATGCATTATGACACTATTTTGACACGCTACGCAATTGACTAAAATCTGTTTATATGTAGTAGGAAACAGAACTGCGTTGCATCCCTAAAATTGATGATAAATTGTCAACGTTGACACTTGTCTGACGTTTGTCTGCAGCGATTTAAAAACTACTTAAAATGTAAATGTTGTTTTTATATACACACATTTTTTTTAAAATTTGTTTTTTTTAGATATTTTTCAATGTTTGGTAGTTGCCACTGCAGCACAGCTCCTCTCGTTGACATTGTTAATATATGTGAAAAACAGAAAAAGGACACAAAATACAAGCGGAAAATGGGAACTCGCTACAATTCTCGTATACCACAAATGTACATGCTTCATGCAGCGCAACCACCGACAACTGACTGATGACAACTCATCAACAATGACAACTGCAGCAAGTACAGCACGAGTACTTTTCAGGACAGAAGCACCATGGAATTATTAAAGACCGCTTTTACCCCACAAGTAAAGTATTTAGCACATAGTTAAACCATCAAAAGCATGGAAACTGTGAACAGGGCTTGATACCAAAAAGGTTTTTCGATTTAACACTTTTATTTGTTTAATCTCAGAAAGCTTTTCATTTAAATATTTGTTAAAATATGAAAAATTTTACAAAATATGTAGGTTGAAAAGATTCAACATCAAGCATAAAAATTTTAATCATAAAAAGTATCTTCAACATATCAAATTTCAATCCGGAACTACATCAGCTTGCGATAATATAGCGAACGAAGAAACAAGTCAAGTGCTCAAAAATATTTTAACGGACAACATGTGATTAAAACATTTATTTATGTTTGCACACCCCTGTAACTTTGGGCCTTCGGAACTGCAGTACTGATTTAAGTCATGTTTCAATGATATCACAACGGGTCATTATTTGAGCTCAAGTGATCTTTAGGTACCACTTCAACCAAACCTAAATTTTATTTCCAACGCACAGTGTGCTGAAACAGATATTAGGTTATGTTTTTGGGAGGCTGTTTGGGCTCAAATTAGATTGAAAAGAAAGATAATCTCAAACCATATATTTTAGGAAAATTTTATTACAATTTCATTTCTACTGGTTCAGAACACACAGAACTTTCATCGGCTAATTTCTGTTTTGGAGTAGTGTTTGGTGTTGATTAACTATTTTAGTTACTTTCATTTCATAGGATCTAGGCCAGCTTCAGAACCTTTCTCTATGTAGCGTTTCAGTATTTCCCAATGATAAAAGGTGGCTTTCAAACTACTTGGTTTCGTATACAGTGGCACAATATGCCAAGAAGCGTTGGTGGATTCTTAAGATCGCCGTTTGAAATCTAATCTATGTTTAAGTCAATAACTTTGGTAACTTAAATCATACCTTGTAGGATTATTGCCTACCCCTATTTACGCTTTGACTGGATTATTGTTTATCACTTCATCAGACTAAGCAATAATTGACTTCAGATCTGCATTATCTAGTGACAAAAAACTTCGGATTAGTTTTATATTATCCAATATCTTTAATAACTCCAATACGATCAGTTTGCGAGAGTGCATTGACGAAAGTAACACTTGGCTTCAAATCATAACCAATTTTTAATTAGTCTACTGAACGCTGCCAAGGGCGACTCAGGTCTGTAATGCCCAACTAAGTAGGTGAGTATATATTTTAAATTAAAGTGTTTATGTACGATTGCAGACATTTATAAGTTATGGTTTAAATCTTAAATTCTGGTAGCTTTAAACATACCTAATTTAGTATTGAACTAGTGAAATCGATCCTAGAAGACGTTATGAAAATTGACTAAAAATCATTATAATAATTTAAAAGTCGTATAATCTTCACTTGGCAAACACGCAGCAATACGAGATACTTTTCATGTGAAATCCATACAAAATCCATACAAAAATATGCTAAAGAATTAGATATTAATTTAAATTCAAAAAAGTGTTTGTAATTGAAAGACATTTAAAATAATTTAAAAATTTCTGTTTGATGAATATACTCGTATTTTTATTTTTCATTTTAATGTAATATCTTTGTGGAAAATAAATCGATAAATTAATAACTTTTCAGACATAAAAATAAATCAAAATGAACTCTATTCGCTATTTTATCTGGTACTTACTTTGCGCACATTTGCGAGTACTGCGACCAGATTTAATGAACCAACAAAAACTAATAACTTCTGGGATAGAAAAATAGTAGTAACAGAAGATGGAGAGAAATTTATGAATTTGCAAAATGTGAATGTTCACTCAACATTTATGGAAATGCTGAACAATTTATGAACTTTCGATTGTTTGTCAAAATGGCGCGCATAAAATGTTAATAAATCGTCTGGAAATTCTAAATGGTCATATGAAGCGAATGATGGTCGTTTCCCAGCTTTATTGAGCATTCCGAGTTCCTCCTTAACGTTGGCATTCTTTGCACAAGAGTCAAATGGCTAATTTGACTTTTAACGATGATTTCACATTATAACTGAAACATTAAGTTTATTTTCTATTCCAATAAATGTTCACAGATAAATGAATTGTTATTGTTTAACATAAATTTCGGCTATTAGCGTATGTTAACGTGTTGGATTGTTCCGTTCCATACTACAGGAAGATTTATGAGGAGAACATGTATCTGTCGTTTATGGTTGGCTACTGTACTGTAGTTGGTTTCAGCTTTGTATGTTAGTCATGGAATAGAGTATATATATTTATATATTTTTCTATATTATAATAGGTATATTTATTTTAAATTAATTTGAATGATAACATAAAGATTTTAAAGTATTATATATATGTATTTATATAATAAATTAACAACAAATATTTTTTTTTTTGAATAGTTGAATTTCTTTGGCTAAACACACAGCAGTTTAACGTATTGCCAAACAGACATCATTAGAGTTCTTCAGAACTTTCAAAACTGACTGATTATAAGACAGATTTTTTCTTGTCGAATGTGCTGCGCCTTACTACTATGACGAAAAGAAAACTAGAAAGGTTCGAAAAGTAATGAACTCATTGTTTTTTGCAGTAGATGAAAAGCATCCAAAGCCACCAAATAAGACTTTAACCCACTACAGTCACCTTTTAGAAATGTTTGTACCATTCTATTGTGAAACTCATTCCACAAGTTACACAAATTTTCGATTCTTTTTAAGGAAGCGAAACATATTTCTAAGAGGTAAGCCGCCAATGTTAGAACTACTGAAGTTTATCGGTCTAATACGATAAGTGCAAGTATTGAGGGGATAAGACAAGAGCATAATACATGTTCATATTGTTTGATTCAGATTAAACCCAACCATCAATAACTGACGTCACAACAGACTTAAGCACACCAGAAATGGTTACAGTCCACAAGTTATATACAAGGTAGACTTGGAACTAATTTAAGGCTTAAATGCTTTTATCTACCAATACTGTTTACTCCACATTTGCAATCATAGATTAGTTTTGATTATGTGATCGGGTTGTTCACCATTTTAAGTACAGATTGATTATCACTTAGAACTCTGATTATTCTCTCTTTCTATCTAAATATAGAAACCGGAATCATATATATAATTTTTTCATAAAAATTTATGATAAAAATATTGTGTATTCAAAATCTTAAATAAGATTACTATAGAAAAGAGGAAAGAAGCTAATGAGTTCAACAGTTTGTAAAGCATTACCCAGAAAACTTCTTCAGACGTTTATATGAGGTTCATATCTTCTCTCTGTGTATATCAATGTTATATTCTCTGTGTGCGAATATGCCACATTACATAAGCAAATGATTTACGAATATATCTTTATTTTCGTATAGGTCTTTTGCATGACCTATATATCTTTATTATTGTTTTATTAATCTTTGTAAACTGAAATATTTGTTAATTTTTTCTGGTATGTTAATTAAATTAAAGTTTATTCTAAATTTCTAATAGTTTTCCAACTATATGCTAGTTCTTAAGTTAGCTTGTAAGATATTACATTCAAAAGTTGTCGTTCACAGGATTTATTTTAAATAAAATATATAAGAACTCAATTATTTATATAAAAAAATGAAGATTTATTAATATTTACCTACCATACATGAATTTATAATTTTCTTTATAATTTTCTTGCAGAATATATAAATGTGTAAATGCAAATATACATTTGTATATATTTTTATATATACATGCCTGCGTAAAATAGTATTAAAACTACGAATAATTTTCTGTAGAGAATGTCTTACTTCCCCCAATTTCTGATATTCCTTCTGTAGCGGAATAAATACTCCATTTAAATAAATTTTCCATTGCGTATGACATTTGAATGTAAGTTCTTACTGTAGTCCATACGAATGCATAATTTATTCGATACGACTTGTTCTGATTCGAAATTATAGCTTACAAATTTATTGAAATTATAGTTTTATTAGGTTTCTGATTGGTATTGTTAAAGTTTCATGTTTCCCTTATTTATGATATTTTTGCCAAAATCATCTTCTTGGAACTTAAACGACGATAGAAAATGGCAGAGACATATGTAAAAGAATACATAAATTAAATTGAAAAATATTTAGGGGTGTAAATATATTTAAAGAAATTTCTTAGCAATAATATTTCAAAGTATTGAAATAAATAAATATAGAAAATAACGTATTAATAACAAATCTTATTTGAGAAGTTTTGAAAGCATTTCATTTACCATATAACATTTTTGATGTGGAGAATGAAATACAGGTTGCGTACGAATATTAGAAAGAGAATTATTCACAGAGGTTTTCTATAAAACTGTAAATCCGCTAAATTATTTTTAGGTGAGGGAGGAGAAGATGGTGATTGGGAGACAGTAAAGAAGAAGACTATCAGGAGGAGTCAATGAGGAGGAGACGGTGAGGAGGTGATGGTAAAGAGGAGACGGTGAGAACGGGACGGTAAGAAGGAGACGGTGAGAAGGAGACGATAAGGAAAAGACGTTGTGGTGGAGACGATGAGAAAAATACGGTGATGAGGAAACGGTGAGGCGGAGGCGGTGAGAAGTAGACGGTGAGTAGGAGACAGTAAAGAAGAGAAGGCGAGAAGAAGGGGGTAAGAAAAAGACGATGAGGAAGAGATGGTAAAAGAGTACGGTAGAGAAAGGCGTTCATAAAGAGACAATGAGGAGCAAAAGGTAAGATGAAGACTTGAGGTGCGGTCAGTACGGAAGAAATGGAGAGGAGGAAACATCGAGTTGGAGTCAGTGAAGCGGAGATAGGGATCAGAGACTTCCAGAAGCAGACAGTTAAACTCTAATCAAGAGTAATAACTCTTGATACAATATTAATCTTCTTGTATAGATCAAAGCTACGACATTCTCTCAATTTCGTGGTTTTTTTCTACGAAAATGTGCTTTTGAATGAATTTCTTTAGCTACAGATTAGTTATCGGAATGACATTTAAAGTCTTATAATTAATTACTACTTCAAAAAAAGACTGGGATCTCAAAAATTATATGATGGCATAGATTATTCTGAGTTAATCTGCAATTTTATTATTAATAATTTCACATATTATCAAATGTTAAAAACCTGTTTTTATGTCACTTTACAAGAAAAGCATCTTAAAAATTAAATAATTGTGTTAATTCTTGGAGGTATTGGATTTCGAAGTAGTGAACTTTATAAAAGTGAAAATTATGACGTTTGACTCACGAAGCCATGTCATTTCTTCTGTAATCTGCTCGCGGTGAACTGCGTCAACCTAAGCATGATAATAGATGAATTGGTAGCAAACCTTAGTAGGTTTTCAAGAACTAAACAGACGAATTCTCGTTCTCCAAAGCGCGACCTTAGATTTTTGATTGCCATCTCAATTTAGGAAAAACTGGTTGTGTTATACCATGTAAACACAAGACCCACAGATAATACCTATGAATGTTAAATAAAGTATTCGAAAAACAAAATGGAATAAAAAGAGCCGAAGAATTTGGGATATTATGGTATAACTATGTTAAAAACTAAAACCACTGGCATGTTATGATGCTAATTGATGATGCATAGGATTGTTTCTAAATATTGAAAACTATATTCCATTAATGACATATCATCAAATAAACTAAATTATTTGAAAAAGCTTTATCGTACGCTAGAAATTCAATTAATTAAATATGTATAATAAAAATTTTTGTTGTTGCAATTTACTACTGAGCGATAAAAACCGGTATATTGAATACTATGGTTTATATAAAGAATTTATATGCTTCCATCAAAAGAGACGTTAAAATCCAATTTAATATAAATTTAATTGCTTTAATTACAATATATAAAGTAAATATTAAATTGTTCGAATTTGAAATGAATTTTTAATTAAACTTCTTTGGTGTTAGACTTTCATGGTATCAAGTGATACCAAAGTTAATTTGCAAGTTATTGACTGCATTAAATTTTGAATTGTCAATTGAATTGTCAAAGTTTTTGAAAATTGAAATCGTATACAGATTTTCCGATTTTAATATGTGCCACAGAGGCAGACAACTGCCATTTTGACAAATTTGACAGCGCATTAGAAGGCAAGAGTGAATCACGTATCCAAGCTGCCACATAAATAGACAAACCAAGAGACAGGACAGACTAGAACATATTACAGCATGCACGCAGGCACGTGCATATCCACTGACACACTCACACTCATACACACACTCACACACACACATTTGCATTTCATACTCATACGCACCATAATAAACCATAATACAATCATTCATATTCGCACTAAAACTGAAAATCACATTTATTCACACTTATCCGCATATATTCACGCATATTCGCTCATATTCACAAAATCACTTATAACGTATGTGGCATTCGAAAATCCTTATGAATTGTCAAATCAAGTGACAATCACTTGTGCTTCTTATTTATGTAGCACACTCACACTCACACACACACACACTCACACAAAAGCTCTGCCACTGTACTCCCAACACGTCTATGTATGAGTATGTGATTTGCATTTGTTTATTTACTTCTGTTTATTTTATGTTCCTATGTGTACTTCGTATTTATCGCAATTTAAGTGGATTCCTATGTGTGTATGTCTATACGTGAGTGAGCATGTGTGTGTGTGTGTGTATGCGTCATTTGTGTATTAAGTCAAATATTGTACATTTTTGACAGTTTGCCATACGTACTTAACGTTTCGAAATGAAATTTTTGACATTATTCTTCTTATTGTGCCTGACTGCGCTCGGTTCTCATCAAATTTTACAGCATTTCCAGAATATAATTTTCGAAAAAAAGCCATCTAGCATATTTTTTGATATTTTTAGATATATTTCTGGGTATATCAAAATTAAAAAAAATTGATTTTTATTAAGAAAAGAAGTGGTACTCAACATCCTACCCAAATTTTAGTTTCCGATTTATATCCTAATTGAATATAATTTTGAGTCGTTGATTATTTATGTCAGACCAAGCACATTTCCTTTCACCCATTATCCATTATAAAAAGATATATATTTTACCTGGTAATAGAATTCATTTCTGCTATTGTTGAAATAAATCCAATGCATATTTTCTTTAAAAAAT